ATTGCGTGCACCACGCGATGATACTCAGCGAAATGAACAACCTTCAGACTCAAACTGGGCTTTCTCAGCCAAGTAAGCTAATATTCCAGCCTCACTGAATCCCACCCATGTGATGCGCGTGGTTGCGTGCGGAGCTAAGCTGCTACAACAGTAAACTAAATCGAACGAGAAACATCCATTAGAACAGATAGAATCGATATAACTTTATTCACCAATTAGATTTCATGATATCATTCTTAAAAACGCTAGATTACTTCAGACTCCAACAGTATTTTTCCTACGTGATGCTTGAACTGAGCTCGCGATAAGTCAGGTGGTATATTCTTAGTTGGCTGCGAGTAACGACTACCCGCTACCTGCATGCAGGTTAGTGTTGGGCCGCGCGAGCAAAATCTTCCTTACGCCCTACTCTAGTTCTGGACCATGACATTCTGAGAACGTTGGAAGAAGAACCACTTTTTCTGTGTTGGTTGGGAGATACAAAGTGGCTAAAAGCATTGATGCGCCACATGGAAACTAGCGGCCTAAATTCATATGTGAGCGGCTTTGTCCTGTTCAAAAGAAAGAATAGGGGAGAAAGCAGATGTTGGATGGATGGATAAGGCTAGGTAAAAGTTCGAGCTCCTCAGGGATACGAACTTCTAGCATTTTTGGAAAAGCGAGCTTGGCCTGCGTGATGCAAATGGGAGTGTAATAACAATCTTACAGTTTCTTTGGAAACGCAGAATTATTTTATGTTGGTCCGTGTGCAATACAGTAACCATAACTTACTCTATAATAGGGACAGTAGTCTGCCACTTCAACCGCCCCATACCCAACAACATTTTGGCCTTTCTTGTCATGATACATGTTCTTGACGTTGTAATTGTATTCTTGTGGAAGAATTTTCGAGTCTTGAACTAAGTTGCATCGTACCTTTGCTCTACGCGATGTACTACACCTGCAAAACTAAGCCTAAGTACGCATTACGACGAAATTCACAGTCCAAACGACCCAGTTTATATACAACGCTTCTTCCACACTGTGGCACCACGACAAAGGTCTCATGGTCAATCGATCTCCACCGAGAATTCGCCCACTGCTGGGAACTGTACTTGTAGTACGCTTTGCATCCTAATAAATAGTATGCATTTTACTTACAATACTCAAAATAAACATGTATTAGGGTTCAGTATTTGGGGCTGAGTAGAATGTCTATGTTCATTAACGGAATGTACTGGTCAAATAAAAGTGACCCATTGTGACGAGAAACCCGCGCCAGTTTTAACTGAGCCATAATGCTTGCAAATACAAATGTTCTGTGCCCCTTTGAGTTAGACCTCGGTCAGACTCGGCGATTGCGTCGCTGTACACCAGCGACGGAGTTGCCCGGCACAAGAGTGGCAGCAACGGGCGATGACTCAGCACACGATCGATATCGGTTGGCAGGGGGAGATTAATCATCCTCACCCATCGTTCATGTTGTTCTGCTCGGTTTTTTTTTCAAATTCTTAATCAGGATAGGATATCAGGAAAAGACTGCGTGGGATGCACTTGAATGCGAGGAAAGTGGTCCTGTAATAATTGACGTGATGAAATGACCCACCAAAAGAAGTTGTGAAATACAACTATCATGGATTTTCCCACTCGATCAAAGAACCAATCAAGTTTCGAGCTAGTTACTTCAAGATACCTTTGAAGTTATTACAATGACAGGGAGGACCACTATCCTGATTAAGAATTTGAAAAAAAAACCGAGCAGAACAACATGAACGATGGGTGAGGATGATTAATCTCCCCCCTGCCAACCGATATCGATCGTGTGCTGAGTCATCGCCCGCCCGTTGCTGCCACTCTTGTGCCGGGCTAACTCCGTCGCCGGCGATTCCGTCGCTGGTGTACAGCGACGCAATCGCCGAGTCTGACCGAGGTCTTATAGCGAAAGCAAAAGGTTCAACATCTACTCACCTATCAATGCAATCACCAGAAATAAAATTACCTAGCGTCATCGTATGTGTTGCAAAAGGGATACGGATTCTCTTTATTCCTTCTCATCCACGTCAGACAGCTTTGCTTGGCGAATCCACAGCCGAGATTGCGACCCCACGGCATGTCTTCAGCTTTGCTGAAACAACACTTTCTACTCTACCCTACTGAAATTACAAACTTACTACCAACAAGGCACATTTCAGAATCATAGTAGTTCCTGATCTCATTCATAAGTGAATATAGAGATGTTAAAGGCAAGCATCAGGATGAAACAGGTGTGGAAAGGCGTTTTCTACTGAAGATAGAGGTGGAGAATGATCTGGAAAAAAAGAAAGCAAGAGAAGCCCCCGATTATGCCCTTCATGAGAAACCCCTCTATTTCATCCGCACCTGCCCACCTTGGGACTAAGAGAACAAGGGCGTGTTGGACGAGTTTCACCAACCTAGTTGCTTCAGCGCCAATGACGTTGAACCGCAATGCAATCGCTGCCGCAAGGCCCGGCGCTGTCCAAGAGGCGACACGTGGCAACCGACAGCGGAAGGCGAGCTTGAGGACAAGGAGGTGGATTGTGGGGCGAGCAAGCTTTTAGCGCCTTTGTCGTGCACTTTCAAGCCGCAACAGGGCGCGACATCAACGCTAGCCTATCTGTCTACTACGCTCGGGTATGGAGCAGGTGAGCGTACCTAATCCCGAAGCGTCACTTTAAAAGAAGCGCACGTAAAGATAGAAGAATGAGACGTAAGCAAACCAGCCCTTTTGGCACTTCGGCTGGGACCGTATGCTGAATGTTGGGGAGGGGATGTCCCCGACGGTGGACGGACAACTTCAACGCGGTCCTTAGAACCGCCACAATTTGGCGCTTACCTTAGAACTAAGCCTTAAAGAGAGGACGGGTCCGTCCCCTCTCCTAGGCTTAGTCCAAGGGTGAGCAGACCGGTCCTTCTGGCGAAGCTACTGGACCAGCTGCACCACTTGCGTCAGTACTCTCCTATCGTACCAACCGAGTTGAAGTAAACCGTCGACCGTTGGGGACCCCATCCCCTCCCCAACATTCAGCATACGGTCCCAGCCGATGTGCCAAAAGGGCTGGTTTGCTTACGTCGAAGAATGACACTTACAAAAGTTCGGATAGGAGCTTCTTGTTGGAAATGCACAGCAGCGAAACGATACACCGAAAATAGGTAGGGGAGGACTGAGGGGAAATAATACATAGGAGTACAGTGACGCGCTAGACGCAGAAAATCCACCGCTTAGACCTTTGGATCACGTCCAACAGTGATGCATCCGGCAAACAAGTGATGAAGCTTGAGGTTGGTGTAGAAGATTTATGTGATCCGTCGCGCGACGGATCACATAAATCTCAAGTGCCCCGATCAGTTCCCACCGCCATTTTTGCTTGATGGCCACGGTTATGACGACTATTCATGATTCCACTTGTTTCATATTCAGAGTTTCAAATGTTCAAATGAGGCATTCGCGATATTTGCGAATCGCGCGAATCGCGTGACGGATCGGGGACTTGGACACCAGCTAGGTTTTCAGGTGTTGGACACTGGTGTTCCGCAAAAACGACACACCTTAGGCCCTCGTTAATAGCTTTGTCCAGCTCAATGAATTGATTCACCCGGCCTAATTGTGGAATGTGCCATAAAGATCATCAGTTCAATTGCATTGAAGAGAAAAGGACCCACTCGTAGTTCACTTTGTACCATCCAGAATCTTCGAATAATGCAAGCGTCAGACGAGATAATGCATACACTTGCGTAGCTATACCCGACATTGCCTCGTTCTTAAAGTAGGAGTTTACAATCAGGATCAACCGTGCGCTGCTCCGATTTCAAAATTTTTACGACCGCCTTCCTTTGTGGTAGTGGTAAGTCGCGCGCTTTGTCTCTCTCAAAGGAGGGGACCGAGGCAGCATGAAATCTTACTATTTGAATAGGAGCAATTTTAAAATTTTTGCGTAAACTTAGGCACGAGGTAATCGCAGAGACTTCTATTTTTGGAACCATACGAAGCCTTTTCGAAGTCGCAAATCTGTTTTTGTTATGAACTGTATAAACGAACCTTGCAACGATTCTGTCACCATGGGAACCTCTTCATTCGAAAGGTCATTTTCTTCAGAAGTGGTCTCATCAGATGGGATACAAAAATTTAAAAAAAACCGAATTGTCTCATTTTGTTCAAGAAAGGTCGCTTCTCCTCGTTTTTGCTCGATGAAACTGATTAGCAGTCATCAATTTTTCTTTTTCAGCATGTAAGGAAAGTAGCTGTTGGACAAGGGCAAATCGCCGTAGAAAACAAAGGCTAAGCGCCAGGTTGTCACATTGCGCGGGAATTTAGTCGGAGCTACGAAGAGATACAATTTCTTTTGCACCCTGTGGGAACTGAAAAAAGCTCTGAACATTTTCCTTGCTTTTTTAATACATTGACGCCCGCACTGATTTCGGCCCATGCACTACCTGAGTGCATACCCGGTGATGTATTGTATTAGGATGGTAAGAAAGTCCTGAGCCGTTTGACACTTTTTTGTGCTTTACTTTTTTATTCCGCGTACAATGGAATCTACTCAACAATATAATCACCATTGTTACTCACTACAGAGTCCCACCTAATGGGCAGGTCAGCGACCCCTTCTCCCAGAACTGAGCAGACTGAGAGTCATAAGAAATCGCTGACCGCGTCTCAGATCAGCTCTTCCAATTCTGCACGGGTCTCTTTAGCTATGTGGGGCCTGGCGTCATCGTGGAGTAGGTGGACAGAAGTTCGTCTCGGTCGTTTTTCTTGAACAGCGTCCGCTAGTTTCTGGAGCTGACTGGCGTAAATGCTGCCGGTAGCGGTATGTCTTGCGGGAGCATCTCATAATACAACATTCCTCACGAATCCCAGAGGCAGCAAAGAAGACAGTTTT